CAGCCAGCTGGCTGGGGAATTCTGGGAGTTGAAGTCCACTCATCTTAAAGTGGCCAAGTTTGGACAACACTGGCCTAGAGGGAGGTGAAAGGTCTGCAAACCTTCTGTTGTGTGGCCATATAAAGGTTCCGAAAGCTAGACATAGATAATAACTTTGGTTGTTGTTTAGTTACTGTTGAAACCTAAAGCAGACAAAAAAAACGTAAATTACAGATCTTCCATCTGCCTGGTGTGCTAGCATATTTTATTAATCAATTAGCTATCGTTGTGTGAGGAGGAAATCAAACTCTTCCTCCATGAAAGCAGGAAGCCAAACCTTCCCGCTTGTCTCACCCTGCCATTCAATCTTTCCACAACAATCAAGGTAAAATTTACGATTAGAATGGGCTCGCCCAAAAGATTAAAATGTGGCAGGAAGAGTCAAGATTCTTTGAACCTTGCCAGAAAGATCCCCCTGATCAAATAACAAAAGATCTGGCAGGAAGAGCTAACTTTCTTTGAACTTAACTGAAACCTTAATCAGAAAACAAAAGATCTCTTCCCCAAAGAGATCTGCATACCAATCAGGCAGTGCTAGACAGGCAAATACCTCAGTTCAACACCAATCAGGCAGTGCTAGACAGGCAAATGCAAGGATGCCTGATAAGAGGCAACCAACTCCCTGACCTCAGAGCGCCCCCTCTTGGAACTCTGGCTAATTACACTTGCTAAGAACTTTAGAGGGCGGTTTCTCTCTTCACGCATTGTTTCAAGAAACAAAGGCAAGGTTTCCCTATATAAAGGGCTCTTCGGGAATTCTTGCTGGCCACCCCCGAGACCCGATTCTCTGTGCTGTGCTCTTGGAAATAAACGTTTGCCTCCGTTTCAAGCAACTGCCTGTGCATTTTATTCCAACTCAGAAACAAACTTGGTAAGATTTCTTTCCAATAATTGATAGAACTGACTGATTCATCCAGCTAGGAAAGCATTAACAATCACCATACCCAGTACTGCGTGCTCTAAGAAGAATGTTATAAAATGATTCCTAGGCTGTCAAACTGAAAAAAAAAATTGCACAGTCTCTTGTGTAACTTTTCCTGGGATTGCTTGTAATGAAGCAACTTTGAAAGTTTTAGGAAGCCATCTTCCCAGCCGTTCTTTATTCAGCTTTTGAGATTTTAGCAAGTACTGTCTGTGTAATTTAAAACGCTGTAAACAATCATAACAAGTATTTTACCTATATGAGACAATAACTGGTTCCAGGGCAGGAGTGGAGCAAGCCAACTGGGGAATGGCTTCCCACAATGGGGAGGAGGCATCTGTCCTTCCACTTGCTCTCCAGGAGTTGGTGTCCTGTCTCACGCATAGTCTCCAGCCATCATGGGCAGAACTGTGCTATTCCCCCTTCAGATGGATGGATGGATGGATGGATGGATGGATCGATCTATCTATCTATCTATCTATCTATCTATCTATCTATCTATCTATCTATCTATCTATCTATCTATCAAATCTATATATGCCGCCCATCTCATGGATGATGAAAGCCACCAAATCGTTGCTCTATTTCACTTAGAACTTAGGAAAAAAAAAACCAGTTGGGAAGATTTGGACCAGATCAGATGCAGATTTAGCTGCATTTAGCTCCTATATATTCTGTGGGCTACTTTATAAATATTCAACATCTTTCTGTTTTGTATCTCTTCCCCAGATCCCAAATGAGTCCAGAAGTATTTTGACATTTATAGCAGTGATTGGATTTTTTTCAAGAGAGGTTGACACTTCTTGCATACAATTTAGCCAGCTTTTGGCTTCTAGCAGGGTCATGGCTATTGAGGATTACAGTTGTAATTCTTCACAGATAAAATGTATTAGGTTGGGAAAGGCTGAATTAGATAAAGATGATTTGTATCTCCTTTGAGGTATGCAGTGGGAGCATAAAAATGGTAGAGCTAGTGTAAAGCATTGTAGATTTTCTCTGTAATTTTTAAATAAAATCTTAGAGCCTGTTTACAGTACTGTGTTCATCCATAAGTAACTGGAAGTATGAAACATCTAAGACAACCATACAGATTTCATACTTCGTACACATTTAAGAATTCTTCCTGAGTTTCATTGCAACTGGAGTCCCAAGTATAGTGTATTTCACTGGATGAAATTCTAATATTCAGATGTATCACATCGGGATGATGTAGTCAGACGAATCCATTCATCAGCTAGGTCCCACAATATCTCAGCTGCTGGCTTACGCTGCATTCTCTTTTGTGCCTCTATAGGGTCTCTCTCCAACTGGAAAGAATATTGGGCTGCTCAACATTACCTTTAAGTATGACAGTAAGTTATCCTTCTGCTTCATGATTTCTCTCGAAAATAACAGTCAAAATATTGTACATTATAAATGCCACATTAAACCAGAACACTGAAAAAAGATAAAGCATTGAATTTATTGTTCTTATTTATTTAATCATTTATTTAGATTTTTAATCAAAGTGACAGTCTGAAACAGAGGAAGATATATTGTCCATTAAAAACTTAAGAGGTAGATTAAAACCACTTTGTTTTGTTAAGCCATAGCATCTTTATCCAAATTTTATCTAAATAAGATCAAGTAAAACAAATTATATTTTGTAGAATCTGTGAAAGAAAGGTGGCACAAGGTTGGATTTGGGCCATTTCTGTACATTCTTAACATTTGTAGCTGCAAACGAATAAAAGGATTTAATCCTTTCACTCTTCCATGTAGCTCTGATTAATAACCCATTTTCTCACTCTAAAGAGTTAGAAATATTGAATTATCATCATGTGATCATCTCCATAAGAAAATGTGTAGCTAACAATTATGTTGTATCTAGCAACTTTTTGTAGGGTGCTGAACACAGGAAACACCATAAACCTTTCAGGCAAAAAGGTTTATTTTTTAGTAAGCTTGAATTTCTAAATAAGCATTGTACTGAGATATATAAAAAGATGCAGGCAAAAATCAACAAGCAGTAAGCAACAGTAATTAAAAACATGATAAAAGAAAATGCAGACTGAAGCGTAATATAGTTTTACAAGGAATATAAAAATGACTGCTTTGAGTTTAAAATACTGCACAATGCTTCTTGAACTATAAACATTTATTATTCTTGCCTCTCTTCCTTTCTTCTCCAAGGGAAAGTCAAGGCTGCATGCCAATAGAAGCTTAGAACTTCTCATTTATAGTCCCCAAGCCTGATGATACAATTTATTTGAAACAATTTTGTCTGGCAATTTAGCCTAGCCAGGCATACCCTTTAAAGAGTAAATTTGCTTATGCTAATTTATCAGTTCGAATGTAGAGTTTACTAGCCCAGCTTTGCTCTAGAAAACCTGTTTGTGTTCATCCATGATCTCCAGGATCTCTATTATTTGACAAATGGGCAACCCTGTCAAGATCACAATCTTACACAGATAGGATAGAATAGAATAGAATACTTTATTGGCCAAGTATGATTAGACATACAAGGAATTTGACATCGGTGCAAAGAACTCTCAGTGTATTTGCATAGCATCAGGAAATAAAGAATAATAAAAATAACGTTATATACTAAAACTATGCAGTCAGAAGAGGAGACTTGGAGGAAGAATAATACTGTGGCTATTGACTAACATATATTCATTG